ATCCATATTCCTTCTGTATTAATAAAGTAAAATATACTGAGAGCAATGAACTTTTTTGTGGCAATGTTCACATTCTACCTTTAGACATTATGGACATTCATTGTTGGACACACATAAATTTAAGAAGGGTGGTCCTACTTAGCTTTAAATAATTCCTCTACTGTCTTGCATCCAATTTTTAAAAATTTAATGGCCAAGTAGTATCACAAAGATGACTGATTTGATAAGGGAAATTTGATTGAAAAGAACAAATTTAGTAATGTAAAGTGCTTATTAATTCTCCTTTTGACTATTACCATATTTTGATTAGGTTTGCTTTTCTTTTTTTTAAACTAGGCTTAATCTAAACATGTATCTGACAGTCATTTCCTTCTGTGATAGAAACTGTTGTCTGAAAGGTAAAATGTGCAAGTCCCCATTCTTAATATTCATATATTATATACACAGTATGTATACACTTAAAATATAAGAGTTACATATCCTGGTCTCTTACATGCAAACAGTAGATCACAAATAGTTTTGAGCTACACATATATCTTGCACAGGTATTGGAAAAAAATCTGTGAAATTTTTTTTACAGTTTTAACAAATATACATAAATATAAGAACATAAATTACAGTAAAATATTGACAGCATTTGAGAAAATGTTGATAACCCAGATGCACTGATGCCTAAAGGCCTTATAATAGAAAAGTACAGTTCAGGGACATCTCATTCCTATTCTCTTTTAAAATAAGTAAATACATCATATGAGATATTAGTTATTTCTCTAAACAACTCAATTAGAGAAATGTATATATTTTAGTCTCCACTTCCCACAAAAGAAAACCAACCCCACATCTCATTTATGATACAATACTGTCTCTCCCCTCTACGTTTACACAGTTGTCACAACACTGAAACATAACAGGGTCACATAATCATTCAAGTCTTTTCCTGAGAATGAAGTTTTTCCCCAACTAACCCTCTGATATACATTGTTAAAGGAACAAAGATCATGTAGAGAAGATTTCAAGTGTGTACTTTAACCTAAGCTGTTCCACTTGAAAAGAATAAAAAAAGAAACTCAATAGAAGTAAAATAATGTGAAGCTATTTTAAAATTAAAATGTAGCCCTTTGTACATGTTTAAAAATTCTAAATATAATTTTTATATCAGTTATAAATATAATGTAAAGACCTCTTGAGAACTTGTGGCAGGAAGTCTTACATCTTCAGATTGAAAGACTACTCTCAAAGTGCCCTTCACTTCTGCCAACTTATAAAGTGACTTACTTTAAAAGAGATAGAAAGCCTTTTTTGTTAAAAGAATAATCTAAATTATTCTGAGTTGGCCAGAAGTGGTGTAAAAACAGCACTGATTTAATCAGCAACTTCTTATAACATATTCTTGGTTAAGCTCATGTGGTTTAAAGCGAACCTACTAGCAGCTCTTTACAATACCTCCTTTATTTAATAGAGAAATGTTAATACTTGAGTGAATAATAAATACAGAATTGTAAATACTTAGAATAATTCTTGCAAATGCTCTAACACCATTAAAACATGAGGGTTACTGTAAAACTAAACACTAGTGTTTCTCTTAGCATCATAAGAAAGGTGCGAGTTACCTCTGAAGGGGCATTTCCTAAGCTTGCGGTCTCCCCGTCAAACGAAATACAAAGGTATCTTAGATTAAACCCCCAAGAGAGAAAAACAGCAAAATAAACCATCTGAAGACAAGCATGTACATCAAAAAGGAAAAAAATAAAAAATAAAACACATAATTTGTCATCTTAGCCTTATTTCAGTCATAAGTCCAACTAGTGTCCATGAGAATTCAGTGCTTCAGTGTGTCTCCCATCAAGTAGGCGAACCCGATGACACAAATCTCCATTTGTGAATCCGAACGTTTCCTTCATCACTTGGACTTACCACCTACGTGTGACTCTTCTGCAGTCCAAAATGCTGTGGCTCACGTTCCAGTTGTTCGTGACAACAGAGCTTAATGTTCAGGTGCAATTAATAAAAGTCTTGGTTGGCAATTAGAAAGATTTTCTATAGGCAGGAAAGATGAAGTGCAAATTTACCACGAATGTTCTGAAGCAAGTATTTCCCAACTCCTATGCTTTAGTGGGTAGAAGTTTTTTGGGTGTTACTGGTCTCTTGGTCTGCCATAAATGACTATGAATGGTAATCGCATCAACACTGGCAGATAAAGTTTTAGCAGGTATGTGGCTAAACTGTTTCCTGTCAGAATTATATTTGTAAAGTCCCTCAATCATTTTTTTAGTGATAGATTTAGGGCCTATCCCAGTCAGTTTATTAATTTCTTCAGTTTCTGGACAGTAAGTATACAAAGACCTGAATTGGCAGCCCGAATCCCGGAACAAGATTAAAAAGTTGTTGGCATCTGACTTCTCCATTTCCTTCAAAATAAAAACAAAACAAAACAATAAAAACTCTTAAAACATTTCACTGTATAAAATTTACATAATTGTTTTACACCTATTTTGGTCAAATATTATGACAAGATTCAAAATATAAACTCTGAAGAACAAAAATAAAATGTGTATTATAAAAGCCAAGTACACTTTAATTAACAATGTATGCAAAACTTCACTTCTGAGGTGCTGTTGGCTCTGTGTGGATATTATTATCCTGCAGGAAGATATGAAATGCCTGCTAAATCTTGACCTTAGTCAAATAACCACTAACAAACCAGGCACTGATTAGCAATTTTGCAATACAGCCTCATTTTTAAAAATGAAAACTACCTTACTTACATTTATGAAACATGAACAAGTAGCTCTGGGCAAGAAAAGAACTTACAATTTTATATTATTATCTGAGTCTATCCTAGGCTTAATTAAGTCTGCAGTCTTCTAAAATCCCATTTGAGAGTGAACTAACTCAATCTAAAGTTAAAACATAGCTACAGATCTTCTATATGCTGTTGAAATCCTAGGAGAGGATGGTACTTTCAAGAGTACCAAGAAAGGGTACTTTCTTTTGAACTGGTAGCAGAGAAGACTCCTACAATTTTAGAATGTTGCCAAATTTAGTTTTCATGCAAACATGCTTACCTCCAGTATCTTTTTCTTCTGACCTTCATTTACTTTTCCAGCCAAACAGCAATGAGCTAAAGCATTCTGTATTATGTGCTTATTGGATTTTGCACTGGGTTCTTTGTAGAGCTTTGGTCCTGTGGTAAGAATTTAGCAGCAAAATAAAAATACCATTCCTAAGTCAGAAATACTACTATGTTTAAATTATATAATTGTTCCTATGTTGAGGAAACAATAACAAAAAATCAAAGTCTGTGCCTAAAGGCTGCTGAGTGCTGTATTCCGATCAGAACATTGTTTTATCCACACGGGGAGGCATCTTAAGGATGTTGCCAAGAAAGCTCTGGGATGGCAGTGCTGTTAATCAGATGGGCCGTAATTGCCACACTGTCTGCTTCACCCTCTTTCTCAAGTCTGCTAAGGTTACTGGTGAACTTAAAGCAGAACAGATCGATGAGTAATTACAGCTTCTAAAACGACTGGAAAAGGCTTCATCTTTCTCTTCATCCACATATCTGAGATTTTTAAGCATTTTTCTTTAAATGCTTCTTGGTCTGCCAAGCAACAGAAGCACTTTGTGCCATTTTCCTGGAACATTCCTAATAGGAAGTACAGTACAACCTCCCTACTTCATACTAACTAAACTCTGTCCTGGAACGCAAGGATTGTCCTTATCCTCCACAGTGAGCCAAGAAACCAGTTTTCTGGGCGGGGGTGGGGAGGTGGGGGTAGAAATTTGCCCTGATGGGCAGGCAGCATTTACCTCTTTCTGTGATACCAACCACTCCTACCCTGGCTAATAGCAAACTACCAATGATTCTGCAGTTTGCGTAATTCCTGAAAATTTACAAGTTCCAAGAGCCCTATGGTATGAGCTAGCACCGCACACCACAACCGTGCAGCTCTAGGTTTGAAACAGAGCGTAGCAAATATGCTTGTTAAGTGAGTTTACATAGAGAAACAGAGGGAAAAACAAGGAATTACCATCTAATCCCTGGCATTAAAGGCTGTCCAACTGGCTAAAGGAGGAGTGAAGTACATGGGCAAAGTCAGCAAGTTCTAACCTCCTTACGCCTTCATGGGGCTTCCACTTCCAGTGGGTCACCCGTGGACGGAGGCAGTCTTCACTGCCCTGCACGTTCTCCTATGCCTTTCCACTTTAGATCCCAATGGCTGCTCACATTTCTTTCATTTTCTCTCCGGCCTCATTTCTTTACAAGCGTCTTACATTCTGTTCTTAAATTTGCTTTTGTTTCAGTAATGCCTACCCAAACAAAGGCTCGAAAAGGATCTGATGTGGGGCTGGCACCTTCGGGCATCCAATGCATTCCCCTCAGCTTTTAGAGTCCCTTCATACTTTGTTGTTGTTGTTTAGTAGGCTATACATGGGGCTCAAACCATAGGCCCTAGATCAAGAGTTACTTGCTCCACTGATGGAGCCTGCCAGGTGCCCCCCGCCACTCACATTAATGCGTTTTAAAGATGCACAACTCTAGATATCCGAAATCCCAATGTTAGAGAGGCCTTTGTGGATTCTAGCCTTTTCTCAGTGCTCAGGACCAGTGTAGAGCTGACAGAACCTCTCTAAAACTTCTTCAGACCCAAACCACAGCACAGACATGGTCAGTGTCTTCAAGTAGATGGATGTGGTGTAAGTGATACTGCTAATTTTGTTTAGAAACTGATCTCAATTCACCTGGGACAAGTCACTACCTCCCTAAGTGCAACCATATCACTGAAACTGACCTCCCTGAAAGGGACCATCTGCACTCAGTGTTCTTGTTCAGATTCCCCAGTGTCTAGACCAAGAGAGGAGCCCATGAAACTTTCGTTAGATTAGCCTGTATTTGTTCTCATGACTGTGTTAAATTAAAACATCTCCCTAAAAATACAGACCCTGACCTGTGTATTCTGTTCCAGAAGCCACTGAAGAAGTTGTTGATGCATTTTCCCAGTCCTTCTCCCCATTTCGACTGCCGCAACGACTTGGAGACAAGAAGCCTTCTACAGACTCGGATCTAAATGGTAAATAAAGTATTTTTTAAGTTTCAAACAGAAGAATACTTGGGGGTCAGAAGGGATATTTGTTAAAGTACCAACCAAAATCAACGTAGAAGCTTAAAAAATCAAAAGACGGTTTAACTGCCTTATTCAAGCTGTACACCCACGTGCCTGGACACCACGGGCACTCCTTACCTACTTGCTCACTGAAAGGATGAATGTTTTTCTATATGAAAACTGGCCATTACTGCAACAGGATGTTGATGCAAAAATCAAAACTCAAAACTCATGCCTGTCACTACAAACATTCTCTTTCCACATGGGTATTACAGCGTGACGTAACGAAATAGGGCTTTCAGTTTCTAATCAACATCTGAGAGAGACAGTACAGAAGGGATCTTTCCCAAGTTAGGCAGCCTACTTGGGAATTATTCTAGGAGAAAAAAGTAGAGAGGCTGTCACTTATACAGATGATGTGCAATATCTGCACACTATGATTTTACCAAAACCGTATCAGCAATTACTGTTAATGTTTTATATTTTATAAAAAGTACCTTATCAATGTCAGTAACCCTAAAATCCTAAAAGATAAAAAAGTCAAATATGAATAGCCTCTTTATATTTAAATTTATTTAAACAGAAACACAAATAGTTCCAGTCAGCAAAATTATAAAAATTTGTGTTATGATTCATTCATTATAAAATACAAGATAATTGTTGGAAACATTCTTTTCTGTGAAAAATATTCACGTTATGGATTTACCTTGGAGTCCTCTTGCCTGAATGCACACTCTCGTTATCACCTGTGTTCAGTGATGCCAAAGAAAGGCTAGAGACTGAAAAAACACGATAAATTCGTGATCCTGAATGAAAACAAAATTAGAAATTTAAAAGGAGCAACTAGAAAAGAGTCTGTTCATTAGATAACACCAGCATATGAAAACTGAGCTTCTGTAGTTTTTTTTACTTTTAATCTAAACACATAATATGCTTGCATGCATATATGCACAATTTATTTAAAATTAGCAGTGGTACCTACTTTTAAGAAATAATGATAAAACTAATTGCTGTTAGGATTTATCCCAAAAGGAAAGTGGTAATATGAGACATTGATATTATAACTGTAAGAAAAAAGTTAACAAAAGAAGTTAAGAATAAAATATAGTTAGGGATATCCAGTTCCTACATGGGAAATTAGTTTATTAATTTTAGCCAGTACTGGGTATCAAAAAATTTTGTTGGCTAGAAAAGGCAGAGTTCTCTTTAAACCGTCAATGTTATATTATTTTTTCTCAGTTTTAGAGTTAACTATGGGAATTCTCTAAACCTTCCCACAGGGTTTAGTTTTAATAAAATATATATATTTTTAAAAGTGAGTATGTGTGCTAAATTTTAGAATACATTCTCTCAACTCCAAAAATTACAGATTTGGACATTTGACCATTTCCGTCTTAAAGAAGGGATTCATGAACTCTTGCTTCTATATTCATTATACCAATGTGTTTCTTATGTATTTCTGTGCACACAGTGTTTATCCTTAAATGGACAAGTATGGAAAGGGAACTAGCAATTCCGAGAGATTATACCCGAGGGCAGAGTCCCTGATAGGTTAGGATGCATCCTGGACACTTCAGCACTCACATTGGCTCTACTGAATATATGCGTGCACACATAACACAGAAGTCATAAACAAAACTACATTTGCTCATTTTGGTTTTCCAAATTAGGAGCATGCACCATCTCAAATTGTGGATCCAATTTAGCATACCAAAGCACAGTCGAGTTAGTATGACAAACCAGGCTGGTGTTTTTTTATGAACAGACTCTTCATAATAAGCTGTGTTACCTGGAGGACCTTTTATTGGTGTTTTGGGAGACTCGATATGATCTCTGTGAATAGATTTTGGGCGCTGTTTTTTTTGTTTTGCTATTTGAGGACGGGGTTTAATTACTGTATCCATGTCTTCCATTAGTTTCAGTTGTTTTCGCCTCATATACTCCTGTCTGATAAATTCTCTGCGCGCTCTCTCATCTTCCTTCTTCTGACGCTCTTCCTCAGTTTTACGCCTGGGAAACCAAACGGTTGAATTTCTTACTCTGCACACTAAAGAAACCGGATACTGGGAGTATGGCTTTGATGCGAGAAGGGAAAATTACTACGTTTCAGCACCTTGGGAAAAAATGGTTTAAAATTCGCTTGAGATAATTTAGATCATTAAAATATACATAAACATACCATTAGTAAATGATTGCTTTTTAAAAATATGTTTATGTGTAAAAACCCGTGAAGTTAAATTAATGTTTCTGGAGAACGTTACTTTGAAATGCCTCAAACTCAGGATAAAAATGTACAAGCAACCAATACTTTGGGAAAATAAAGCAACTCGTACAAGCACCAGAAATCAGCATTATGTCAGTTGTCTCCAGACGCTGCAAACATCTGAACAAGCTGGTGGGGGCCCTGAGGAAGCAGAGCCTCAAGTACTGCCGCCCGGTGGCTCTCCGATCCAGGGCCCGCATGTCCAGAGTCTTTACCTCGTTTCCTCTTTCTTATGTTCCATCTCTGCTTCCAGCTGCTGTTTCCGAAGCTGAGTCTCCTTCTCCCTCCGCAGTCGTTTCTCCAGCAAAGCTGCTCGTTTCATTGCCATGTCATTCTCTGCTTTTTGATCATCCTAAGCATGGATTTCACGGAAAAACGTGAAATGTTATGGGCACCAGTACTCTCATTTTCAGTTGTGGTCACATTGTCTAGTCATTCTTATTCCAGCCCCACCCTATGCGGACACGTTCCAGAAATGAAGAAGGAAGAAGTGAATCGGGGCGCCTCGGTGGGCCAGTTGGTTAAGCAGCTGCCTTGTGCTCAGGTCACTAAGCGGGGAGAGTCTGCCTGTCCTTCTGACCCACCCCCCCCATGCTTGCTCGCCCTCATAAAGCGGTAACAGTTCTATCAACTACCAAACGACACTTAAACTTACTTCTTAATTACATGTTTCAAAACCTAGGAAGTTTGCAAAGAACAACCATAAAAAGGAAAAAAAAAAAAAGGGCGGCGGTTTTTCTGGACCCTAACAAATAACTTAGAAGTAGGGAGTTTTCTCTTAGTTTTTAAAAATTGCGTTCAAACTAGGGCACTGAGCTGGCTCCGTCGGAAAAGCAGGCAACTCTTGGTCTTAGCGTCGTGAACTTGAACCCCACGTTGGGTGTAGAGATTACTTAAAAATAAAATCTTTTAAAAAATTGCATTAAAATTGTATTTAACATACATGCTCAATAAAGGAAATTCAAGTGAAAGTACCCAGAAATTAGCTCTATGGTTATATAGCACATAAACCACTGCCACGTGACAGAATGGACACCAAGGTATAGATGTGTGCCCTGTTTCAGGACACCAAGGTATAGATGTGTGCCCTGTTTCACACTGAAGGATTCTCTCCCCTTCCGTTTGCCCTTCTCTGCAAGGAACAGGGGTACCTGGGGTCTCTAAAATTGGTAAACTGTATCTATCTTTATTTACAGTAGCATTCTATTAAAAATTAGTCAGTTTACATGGTTAAGAGACAAAATATGTCTTACATTCAAATTCTCAACTTTAAAAGGGGCTAACAGGCAATCACCCTCAGATCAACTTTAAGTTACAAATTTCCAACATTAAATGACCAAAAGTAAAACTAGTGATGATAATCACTTCAATGTTCTTGGGTTCTTATTCCTATTGTTGTTTCAATTTAAAATCTTAAATTATAAACATAAAATCTTATAAATTATATTTATAAATTACAAATAAATTATAAATTATAAATTGTAAGTGATAAATGCTATTGAGTACTGTCTTTTTTCCTCGTATTCAAAATTGTGGAGCTAGACAGGATCAGAGATGATCTTACTTTAGTTCCTTAATTAAAAAAGAAACATGAGTAACAGATCCACATGTTTCTGATTATTAAAAAAAAATTCTTTCCTATAGGTAATCTGGAAAATATAGGAAAACATAAAGATGAAGAAAATGGATAATTAGAAAAAATTAAAAATATTAAGCTTTTTTTGTTTTTCTAGTACCTATGATAAATTTTAAGAGCTTGACCACCAAGAGGTGTTATTGTTCAGTATTTGTTGGCTGGCTAGTTTCCAATATCAATATTGAGATTAGGAGTCCTACGCTAGACCTTTATCCAGTGCTTTCAAAGGAGTTATTACTGTTCAAACTATGTATGTTATTTTTAAATGTTTCACCTTACCAGGTTATCTGGTCAATTTTTTTAAACGTTTTTTTTTAAAGATTTTTATTTTTATTTATCTGTCAGAACAAGCAGGGAGAGCAGCAGGCAGAGGGAGAAGGCGGCTCCCCACTAAGCAGCGAGCCAGATGCAAGACTCGATTCTAGGACCCAGGAATCACGGCCTGAGCCGTGAGGCAGAAGCTTAACCCACTGAGCCACCCAGGCGTCCCTTAAAACTTTTTTCAAGAAATAAAACATATAAGGAAAGAAAATTTTAAAAAAACTAAAGTATACTTACAATGCCAAATTATGTGTTTTTTACAAACTGACAGCTCTTTGAAGAGATCCAAATAACTTCACATTTTTTTTAAAGGCTTTTATAAAAGCAAGCAAGAGAGGCAGAGGAGTAAGAACAGCATATCTAAACGTGTACCACGGCCTTGGTGAAGGGAAGATCGTTCAGTGTGCTTGGATGTTAGTACAGTCCACCAAGGGGAGCCCCTAATGTACTTCAGGTTTAATGGCAGGCTCGTAACAAAAGGGACTACTACTAAAAGAGGCAAGCACATCAGCTAAAACCAAACCCACTGAATGATGATGCCCCCAAACAATGAAGATTATTAATATTACCTTAAAGAAGAATCCACAGCATACTTTCTGGTCATCATCAAATTGTTCTTTATCACTTTCTCCATCGTATTTTTCAACAGCTACATCAGCCTTTTCAGGAGGTTTCAGATCTGAGAGGGAAACTTCAATCAGATTAACATTTTTAGGAGCAGCCGGAGGGAAAACAGGTTTAGGAGGA